TATGTTATTACGTATAATAACAAATTCGTATTATATTTATAAATATTTTGATGGTATTCAATGGTCAAAACCATTTCAATATTCATTTTATTATTTATTAACATTATTAATAATATCATTTATTTGTTATTATAGTGAAAAATGGTTCAATAATTGTTTAATACATCTTTGTTTTGGACTTTTTTTAGGTTTTTCAATGTTAATATTAACATGGAAAGAAGAAAAAGAAATGATTCATTATATTTATTGTATAATAAGATTAAATCGTCAAAAGAAAATATCATAAGAGAAAAAAAAAAAAAAAACCCTAAAGAGTGAAGTTTTGATTTTGCTTTTTTTTTGCTTCTTTTTTTGATTTTGTTTTAAATTAATTTCATATGTTGTATAAAACAAGTGAAGAAAAATCTAGTGAATATAATTCAACAATTGATCAAGAAAATGAAAATCAAGGTGAAATAATAGTATCACGTAGTAGTAGTCAATCAATTCAACATCCATTACCTGATAAACGTGAAGCATTACGTTTAAATAATTTACCACCATCAACATTATGTTCTTATGTTAATCATAAAGTAACATTATGTAAACCAATAACACGTTCAAAAGCAATATCATGTGCACCAATTACATTTAATCGTGCAACTCAAACATTATTAGATGATGAAACACCACCAATTAGTTTATTACCAATACCAGTTGGACTTGTTACACCATTACCATTAGCTTTAGGAACAACTGATTGTCCTGTACCTGTACCAATACCAATACCAGTTCCATTTCCACTTTTTTTTGTTATTAATGATCAAAAATTTCAAGATTATGAAACATATTTAGAAAAATTAAAAGAAATTTTACCATTAAATGATGAAGATTCACAATTATTAATTTATGCCCAAACAATTTTTCCTAATGATGATATTCTTGGTTTAGGAAAATTTAATCCCAAGGTATTTTATTTAACATTAAGTTTTTTTTCTTTTTCAAAATATTTTTTTTATTCGATTTTCAATAATAAAAAATAATCTAAATAATTGTTAAAATTCGAAATTATTTTCTTTTTCTTGATAAATATTTTTATGAATAAGATTATTAGAATAATAATTAGATTTATTTTCTCATTGATTAAGATAAAGAGTTTATAAATGTTTATTAAATTCTTGAAGAAGATCATTTATAGATTATCATCATTAAAAGAATTTATTGATTTGTTTATAAATTGTTAATTTATTTCGAAAATAAAATTAATTCATTTTATTAAATTAGAAATCATTTTATATTAAAATTATATATTTTATATGATTTTCAATAAACTATTGTAATCGGCTAGAAAATATATTTCTTATCTAAATTTCGTCAACTTGACTTCAAGTACGATTATGAAAAATTTCTATTTGTTCAGATTTATAACTAATTAAAAGAGTCAATACTTCTCTCAGAAATGTATAGAACATGCTAATTCAATAATTTCGATCAAATATAAAACTAAAACGATTTAAATTCCTATAGAATATATTTCTTAAGAAAAGATTCTCAATTAAAACAATAATATTGTTTAGTTTTTTATTTTTTGTTT